TGAAATGTATGAAAATAATTCTAGTAAAATTCTTAAGAAAAAATAATAGTATTAATTAAATTGTGGAATTTGAAATTTATGTTAGTTCATGAAGCTGGCAAATAGAATTTATATTTGTTTTCAACTTATTTAATTTTCATAAAACTTTTCATTTCACGCATCTAAAAATAGGAAACTTTTCTCACAATTAATTAGATTTTGAGCATGAAGCGAACATATGTATTTTTATTTAATTATCATATTTAGAGAGATCAATTGACATAGACATTATTTTGGAATGATATATATTAGCTATCGATAATATTTGGATAGGAAAATTATGAATAAGATTATTGTTGTGTTTTCTTTGCAGACATTTGGAAGTTAATTTAAATATGTATTTTAGACTCTTTCATAAGTCGGTGCCCATCAAAACAATTCCACAAACCAAAATTGAAAAGCTCCTATTTTCTAGATGAAGATGCAAGGTAAGGAGATAATTAGGAGATAATCTATTCCTCTTGCTGATATCACATAACTTACGATAGTTCCAGTCAACTTTTCAGGTGACTCAAATATGCATACATATATGCATGTACATACATTGCTGACGTATATTATAATTATTATTCTATGCCATGATAGTATTTAGTTAGTTTTAGTTCTTATTATCACTGCAAGTGATAGGGTATCTCTTAGTCAATCAGTTAAGAAATCAATGTTATTGTTGTTGTCAGTTTTTGTTGTCGTGATCTGAAAGTGGGTGTTACTAAGTGATGCTGATGCTGCAGACTCAATGGCTGGTCCGGCTATGCGCTGGCTTCGGTTTGGCTTGACTTCGCTTGGCTTGGCGGCCCGTGGAACCAGTCTGCCATTTTTGTTATTTTTTGTATTTTCCCTCTTTTTTCTGCTGCTGCTGCTGCTGGTGCTGGTGCTGCAAGCGCGCGTCCAACCGCTGCCCCGACTCCTCCTGCATCATTAACGCGGCCAAAAGGCAATTGCAACAGCAACAACAAAGAAATAATTGCACATGGCAACAACAACAACCCGCAACAACAACAACAACAACAACAACAACCAGCATGGATACAGTTGAGGCCGTTCCCTTGTTGTTTGGGGTCCATCGCTCGTTCTGTGTGTTGCTCTGTTAATTTTACAGCCATGTCTGATATTGCTAAATGGCTGTGAGTGGATTCGTTTAAGCACCAATTTTATTACAAACAAGCATCACGTTGCATCTGCATCAATTCGAGCTCCATTCGTTGCTGCTGCTGCGACGGCTGCTGCTGCGGCTGCTGCAAGTGCCTCGGCCAGCATTCAGATCCAATCAGATGCAATCCTTTTGCATTGGCCTCGCCACTAACAACAACAACAACAACAACAAACTTGTTGCCCATTATATGTAAGCGCGGCCTGGACCAAGTTTTTTGCTGTGATTTTTGCGCCTATTTTGCATTTGGCCAGGGGATTGGCTGCCCGCTAAGCCAGAATCACGCCCTCCTCCTGCAGCTGCCATTAATCGTTGAGCAACCCCAATATTATGGCTACGAATAAACAACGTAGCATAACATAGAGTTCATCGTTTTTAATATTTATACAACTCCAACTGATTCGAGGTCATAAAAAATAATATACTATATAAACATATTTAAATATCTACATAGACATCTTTTACTTTATAGCTTATAGCTGATCTGCTGCAAGAGAACCAAAAATAAATAATTAGAACATTAAAAATATCTTAAA